GTTGATCCATAGACCCTTTTAAGTTCATGCGTATGAAGCGGATCTTGAGGAAAAAACAATAAAAAGAGGTAACTGTTTAGTTATTTATTTACTTTACTTCTTACAAGCTTAAGGCTTCGTTGGACCACATCTTTTCTGGACATAAACCATTACTCTGCCAATTTTAACTTCAATCGACAGTCCCGCAAAAGTTGTTTACTAGAATTGGAATTGAGTTTTTAAAGTAATGATTTGAGGAAAGGGGTTTAGTCTTTCTGAGCTCTGAGTGAGGAATAATTTATTTCTAGTATGGTGGTGATAGTTACAGTGAATTTAAATTTTACATTAAAGATTCTTTGTTCTGTGAACTGTTTACTTGACGTACAGCCTTCCTGTACGGTTTCTATATATCCCACGACTGTCATGGTCTGGTATCTCAGGGCATGGGTAGCCATATAGTGCCCGTTCGTTGGCTGTTAGGAATAAAATGAATAACGATCAAGTAAGACCTTTGCTAAGCAACACAGCTGTCTCAAGTCTGACCTTTGGTTCCTTACGTCTTCAAATGATATCAGTTAACCATCGAATACTTAAAAACAATAATGGAGCTCTCGGTACACAAACAGAATGAGTGATACATTAACATCTTCCAAAGGAAGGCAATGGCATTGCTTTTTTTTACAGGGGTGCCGCAAAAAATTTACGGTCATCATGTCATACAAAAGAATGGAAATGGTGGAGAAGAGTTATTAGGAATTTACAAAGGCTTTTTCCCATAATTTAAGTTTTTAATTAAGTGCCCTGCGATTCTCTTTGGGTGGGTAAGAATCCCATTGTTTTTCATAATAGCTCTTAGCTTCCTTCCCCTCCCATCCTAGCCCTGTGCTATGTCGATCTTCTTAACGCTAAATTAAAACAAAACAAAACCAACAACAAAAGCAAAAAAAGTTAAAAGATAAAACAAATTCATAAATGAAAAAACTGATCAAAGAGACCAAAGCTAACTCAGCCAGTACTAAAAAACCCGATCTGGTTTCTTCTTTCTCGATTTAATGTCTTGTTTTGTTTTTGTTTTTGTTTTGTTTTTTTTTTTTTTTACAAAAAGAAGTCGAAGGAGCCAAGAAAACAGCCTTGAAAGAACATACATCATCACTTGCTTTCAATTAGTTTTGGAGATTAGTACTCACCGTACTTGGACGACGACCAGGAGCTATTATTGCACTCATAGTTATCGTGTCCATCAAAAACTAAAAGGGAAAAAAAGATAAAATAGCAGGATAAGTGTAAGACTGGTTATCTTTTAAAAATAAGCAGGCTCATAATTGCATTTTGATAAATTATAATTCATTTTCTGAGGTCAATAAGCCAAATTGAGCAATGTTCAAGTGAGCGCTCAGCTTCACCCTAAAATTGGCGCAAAAGAAACCTGCACATCTTTCCAGCAAATCAGAATCAAACTTAAAAGCAGTTGCTACTTCCTCACGCGCTTGTCACGCATTCTTGGCTTTTAGTTTGGCTGTTCTTAAAGTCCTAGAAGATGCCCTTCGTCCCTGCGAATATCTGCAAGACTGAATAATAGGATACCCCAGAAGGATTCTCCGCTCTGGGCTATCGTCTGTTCCACCGGGATGAAAGATGTGGTTTTATTCGGAAATTATTATGTAAATACAAGATCGGCAAACTTCTACAAGTCTTACCGGTTTTTCCTTTTTTAAATGTTTTTAATAAATGTTCACTCACCACTGTGACACCCGGAAAAAATGCGATATCCCACGGCAGTGCTTGTGCAGTTGTTAGTCTCCCAATGATAGGGATGGGAATGTGATATGATAATTCGTGGACAACTGAAATCAAAGAAGAAAATGTTTTTCAGGTTCACCTTATCCTTCTGGGTGCTAGGCTGAGAAACAAATTCAGACCGTTGAGCAATGTTGTCCTGAGAAAGTCCTCAGAATCCAACATAGTTTGTGGTTTCAGATTTACTTGCTGCATGACTGAACGGTGACATTGATAGCATCACTTTATCGCAAGTTTAGATGGGCAACATGCACGTGGTGTCAAGATCTCCTATCAATGAACCTAATGAATCAAGATTTGGCCATATCGGCTGACCAACTCTGTGTGCTGCGGGCGCCAAACTAATTCTGTTGAAGTCATCACGTCCTCTTATTTTAGTAAACAACTAAAAGCTTCGTTAAAGTGGCTTTCTCTGTCCTCTAGGAATGTACATTAGGGTTGCTGCTTGAAATACGGCAGCCAAGTTAAACGAGCACAAAATAACTAAGTAACTTACTTTCCCTGGCGGCATGTTGAGTTGAATTTGTTAGGTCCACTGGGTATCTTAAAAAGAAAAAGAAAGAAAGACTATGTTATGGTACAAGCATGACGATTTTATAAATAATTTATTAAACAGTGGAGCTTTACAAGAACTTCAAGA